ATCGGATCGATGCAGCCATACTCGTTGAAGAACTCACCGAGATCTACTCTACTCCTACTCCTAAGGGGTGGCCGGAGCAAAAAAAGTAAATTGACTTGTATTTGATTGATTGTGTGTCTTACAATAGCCGGGGTTTGATATTTATACCCAGAGTCTAGACATGAATCCTACTCGAGCACGATTTGTTACAATCTTTGGCATATGAAGGAAAACATTCCTAATTTAAGATAAATTGGACTCTAATCTTTCCCTTTTTGTAGAGTCCGATATGTGTCTTCTTGATGCCAACCATATTTCGTCATCGTTATCTGCTGACATCATTCGGAGAGAACCGATCCAGTGTCGCATTCGACTCGACATGTATTAATTTCTACTCAATCGACTCCTTGATTGGCACGATCTTAGAAGCCTGTGAGTTCTCACGTTCTTCTCCTAAATTTTGGTGTAAACACTACTTTAATTCTTCTTTCTCCTCTTTGTAGGGTCCTCCTCATACGGAATCCCTGTAATAAATTTACAACATGAACAGTTGCACCTGAATCAATCCACTAAGTAGATTTTGCATAACTTAAATACAATGATTCATCTATGAATGTAATGAAATCCTCACCTCTCTTCAGAAGGTTCTTCAGGAAGTCTGAACAGTCCCTTTGGTAGTGTCCATGCTTCTTGCACCATTTGCACTGATCCTTTTCAACTTGAGCATTGTTGTTCTTCTAATGATGCTTAGTCTGGGGGCTTTCCCTTGAGGTTTGGCATTCTTATTGAAATTCTTTTTCTTGTCCTTCACAAGGTTAGCAGAGTCACCCTGTAAGGATTTTAGACTCTCCTCTTCTTTAACTCACATTGCAATGAGCTTCTCTATGTCCCACTTGTCAGGCTGCATGTTGTAGTTAACAACAAAGGTTTCATATTCCTTTGGCAAGGAAGCAAAAACCAAATGAATCAGTAACTCATCCTTGAGCCCTAAATCCATTGGCTTTAGCTTCGAAACCGTGTTGCTCATCTTCAATATGTGTTCTCTTATACCTCCAACAGAGTATTTCTCATTGAATAATTTCTTTATCAAGGTGCTTGCGTAAGCCTTTGAAGAGCCAGTAAACTGACTCTCCACTTTTTTAAGATGCTCGGTGGTGGTATCACAATCTAGGATTGATCCCCTTATAGCATCTGAGATTGTGGACTTGGCCACCATCAAGCATTTGCAGTTCGAGATGTCCCATTTCTTCCGATCAAGATCGTATTTCATTCTAACTTCTGCATGATCTCGCTTTTGAGCATTGAAATCAGCATCAGTCTCATTTTCTGCCCTCACCGGGTCCTCTGGCTCAGTAGGACACGGAGAGGTAAGTGCTAAGTCATTCTCGGACAGCGCAAGTGCAAGCTCATACTTCTCTCGCCATACTCTGTAATTTCCCCCTTCAAGAGGTGGAATATGCGAGATAAAAGCCATTGGGGTTGAGTCCTGAAAAAAGTGTCAGAGAAAGTGAGAAAACATAACAAAATAATTACATGCCTTAATTTAACTTTGGTCAAAATTAAAACATACAACTTCTTCTACATTAATTCTACATCACTGTTGGGCAGAAAATAGAATTAATGCATAAACTCATGAATCAAACATTTATAATATTGCTATCAACAACTTTGGTCAGAAAATAGCAAAATCATAAATTTACTAAAAATTATAACTACTCCTCAAAATTAAATCCTCCCGGTGGTTCGAATTTAATTAGAAGATCATAAACATCATCATTCGTAGTGAAAACATGAAAAATACTTTATCTACTTTTCAGAAGCATTTTATTGTACTCATGTACTCTCTGAAAAAAATTATTCTGTTGGTTCAAATTTTGACAGAGATTGTACCTCAAAACATAGCAAAATTGTCAAAAACTGCTTCTGAAAATAAATAAAAAACCTAAACCATTTGAAACTGTTCATTTGGCCCGCATGTAGAAGCAGTGCGCAGCCCAGCAAGCCTCAATAGCAAGCAGCCCAGCGACACGGCCCAGCGGCGTGAGCCGCTCTCCCCCGCGCCCAGGCCGGGAAACTGCAATCCCACCTAGGCTCATTTTGGCCCGATGATGTTCCAGCCATCAGATCAGATCCGACGGTCGTCCGCGCGCGTCGCCCGACCAAAATGGAGACCTCAGCTGCTCCCCTGAAACCCTAACTCACTCTTCCCCTTCCCCATCTTTCTCATCCAGCAGCGGCTCGCATGGCGGCCGGAGAAGAAGAAAAGGTATGGCGCCGTTGCGGGGCCCCTCAACAGCACGCGCGCTCGTGCGTGGCTGAGCATGCCGCCGTCGAGCGGCCTTGTGGCGACGCCCTGAGCCCTGGTCCAGGGAAGAACATCGTGGCGGCAAGGCCACTCCCTCCGGTGGCTCCCTACCCACGCGCCGGGGAAATGGCGGCACGGTGTCTTTCCCGCGCCCACCGCGGTGGTTACATCGATGAGGAAACCTGGGTAGGTCACTCGCATCTCTCGATAACTTAGGGTTAGGGTTATGGGTTCATTGGGGATTTCTAGGGTTTGACCGAAAACAAAATTCGAATAACCTCCTTCTAATTTCTTCTTTTCTACCCCAAAGCCTAGATCTACGCCCAGATTAGGCTCGACTGATACCATTGATAGAACATTAGGATCAACTAGGCATAAATCTAGTAGGTACAACCTTTCTATTCATGATAAAAGCTGTAGATCATCCTAGTATATGAAGAAGTAGAGTAACAGAGAGGAGAGGGTGGGAGGTGTGACATCACCGACTGTCGGAGGGTTTGGCGTAGGAGCTGGAGCCGTCCATGGTTGATGGCGTCCAGGCGGTGAAGTGGTGAGGTCGGTGTAGTGAAGATGGTGGTGTAGAGGCGGCGGTGAAGTGGTCCAATGGAGCTTCCCATCACCGGCTGCGCTCCCTCTCGAGATTGGGCTAGGGTTTGTCGGTGGGGCGACTGTGGCTGCTCACGGTGAACCTCGTGAAGAGAGCCGCTGGCCCCCACCTCTGTTTTTATAGCACAGTGTGACGGGGGCCCACCAACCATGTAGGGTTGGGCACCCCCAATCAGGGCATGGATCCAAGGGCCCAATTGGCCTTTGGTTGGAGATCATCTAACACGAGGCACAAGGCACAACTTTTTTTTATTGCCTCGGCCTTCCAGGACAAGCCGTAGTATTTGAACTCACACACCAACGCACACCACACAAACACTCTATTACACTCACTCACACCTCTAGTGCGCAAGGTAGACCTACAACCTATCTCTAGGGCTAAGAGTACACGGTTGGCTGAGAGATATGACAGTGATGGCTCATCCGTGCGAGGCAACTGGAATTATTAACGGGGAATAAATCCCCTAGGTGAGGCACCCGGGCGAGTATTAGCACTCGAACCTAGGTGGGCAGCCTGAGCGCACGCCCAGCTGACCAACTGAGCACCAGCTCGGTTCTCACATGGCACAACATTGCTGCGGTATTTGTCGTACTAGCATGTTCATGTCCTCGAGCCTGGCAATGGTGTCGGCGCGTTGTGAACAAACGGTTTTGGCAGTTGTGGCAGCACGAGTAGAGGAAACATTGGCACTATCGAGGGCCGTGACCAGTAGTAGTAAACTAGTAACCAGTGAGTCCTACATGGGCGGATCTAGAAAGGGCGTGGCTAGCGTCTGGACGTTCGGACGCAAGCCCCCAGTCTGGATGCTCACACCGCTGCTCCTTGTCTTGCGTTCCACACCTGTTCACCCACACCTCATCTATTGCGCCCGCCCGCAAGCATGTGGGCCCGCCTTCACCTTCACGCGCTTGACACCAAGGCGAGAAAGCAGAAAGGCGAGAAGGGAGATGCAACACTCGATCTAGTTTTGAAGCATCCAGATGCAACAAAACGCAACATACGTCTGAAAACAAATGAAACATTTGAAACATGCGTCTGAAACCCTTCCAAAAACACTTGAAATTTTTTAAATATACACAATAACCATATAAAACACTTGCATCATTTATGTAAAAATATATGCAATGTCCAAATAAACACACTTGCAATATACGTCGGAAAAAAAAACAGATGAAACATTGAGAACATGATCTTGCAACATACGTGTACAACTATTGCAACATGTGCAACATCCCAATCTACTTTTATAACATCCGTATGAAACACTTTCAACATACCTCTGAAACATTTGAAACACACAAAATAGACGCTTGCAACATGCAGTTTCAGCGCAAACATCTCCTTACTGCTTGGGAGAATGGAGGCTCGTCGGCATATGGAGTTCGCCAGAGGCAGCGGCCCTGCGGTGCTTGTAGGCAGCGGCTTGGCGGTGGCTGCGCGACAGGGCAGGGAGGCAGCGACCTCGCACCGTGCCTGGCAGGGGCGGTAGCCGAGCGCCGCGACTCGTAGGTGGCTGCGCACCTGGGAGGGCCGGCAACCGCGTCGCCTCGACTTGCAGGCAGCCGCACGCTGGAACCAGGAGAGGGCAGCTGCGCGCCGCATCTGGTAGGGCTGGGCGGCTGGCAGTTGAGCGCCGCACGTGGGAGCGGAGTACAAGGAATATTTTGACAGTATCCTTCCACCAGCTGGACCCATAATCTATATACTTCAAATGCAAGAATGCAGGGCACTATAGTAAGCTAGTACCCTTTTTCTTTCAGTGAGAGTATGGCTAACATCATATTAGAACTTGGTCACCTGTGAACAAAAGGTACATATACATATGTTCATATTTAGATATAACAGTTACCATAAAATGCTTAACTCTGATGCTATAGGGTAGATGACCTTTTCAAAGAGTTGGCAGCCGCTGTAGGTTTTTTGAATTCGTAGTGCTTATTTGCTTAAACTTTAGAACTTCACTAAAAGCTTGAGTTTGGGTAAGACTGCTGAAGCTTGTGGTTTCTGTATTTAGAATATGTACTGATTCTTCGCTGAAAAAGAGAAAATAGGTGCATGTATCATCTTCATTGAAAATTCTACTGGACATAAATATGTAGAGAAAATATCTTACGGTATGTTATTGAAGTTTTGCTTTGGTGGCATGTCCAATTCATCTAAGCCTCTTTCAAACATTTCCAAAACCTTTGTTATTGTAGGGCGATTCATTGGTAGTACTTGCACGCACCACAAACCAATTAAAATCATCTTTTTAGCAATTTCCTGCACTTCACATGTGACTTCACAAGCTTCTAACCCATCATCGTGGGAAAAATGGTCATAAATCCAATCTGGAAAATACTTCTGACTTGACTTTTCAACTACTGATTTCACATTTTTCCTGCCTCCAACCATCTCTAGCAACATCATTCCATAACTATAAACATCTGATTTTGTTGAAACAACTCCAAAGGTTCGAGAATGAACTTCTGGAGCAATGAATCCAATTGTTCCTCTGGTTCCAGTCATTGAAAACTTACTCTCCTTGGTCTGACAGAATTTAGCTAAACCAAAATCAGCAATCTTTGGGCAAAAATCTTGATCAAGAAGGATATTTTGGGGCTTGATATCAAAATGTACAATGCGTGTATTGCAGCTGTGGTGCAAGTATTCTAGGCCATGAGCAATCCCAATTGCTATAGTGTAGAGATTTTGCCATCCTAAAATGTGTTTGGGATTCTCACAATAAATGTATGATCCAGAGAACCATTGGGCATGTATTCATATATAAGAGCCCGTTTTGAGCGCTCCAAACAAAACCCAAATAAGCTTACAATATTCACATGAGATGTCCTACCAATGCTCATAACCTCATTTACGAACTCATCCCCTTGTCCTTTGCAGTCATGCAAAAATTTCACGGCGACTAGACGGCCATCAAGTAGCCTCCCTTTGTAAACCACTCCGTAACCACCTTCCCCGAGCTTATGATTAAGAAAGGAAGTTATCTTCATTACCTCTGAGTAGTTGTATCTCTTTGCAGCTAGGGATCCATAAGATTCCATTAGAGCCTCAATGTTCCTTTCAGTGCTGCTGCTAGCCTTTCTTCCTAGGCGAAACCATAGTCTCTGCCCCTTTTGATGCCATACCAGTACATAAATACATGGAAAGAGCAAGCTTGCGGTTGCTGCCATCAAAACTGAGATTAAAGCACATGTTATTTTTCATTAAATATAAATATATATTCTTTTTTTTTTGTAAAGAAGCCATATTTTTCTCCAAAAGAAATAGTCATGTAGGAGATCACTCCTAGCCTATTTTTTTTTAATTAGGTTCCATTGTACGAATTATTTACCTATTAGTATTGTCTTCCCGTGACTCCACTTGCTTCCTGTAATAGCACATAAGCTCCATTAACATTCGTAAGAGTAATGTTGAAATTACTATATTTTGTATTTGCAAATAATGTATATAAATGAAGCATATGTTTGGAACTTAAATATTTTGGAGATAACAAGAACTATAAAAGTGAACATACTTCTCACAAGTTAGTAAAGACCAGATCGAGGAGGCATTTCTCATCTCTCCAGATCGAAGAAGTAAATTATTCAAACGGTTTTGACTTTCATATAATTAATAGGCACAAACTATGGACGATCTGCATCTGTGGATGTTGATGGACATATTTGTGGACAACAACTGAAGAAGGGAACCATGAGCACAAGTATACAGGCTTTAGGGTGAAGTATTTTCCAACCTCCAACTTGCACGACAAACTGGATACCAGAGTACTGGACGTCCTCTAGATTTGAAAACCGAAGAAATTTGCTCCTCTTGTTGGTTTCAAAGGTGATTTTCTATCTTGATAAAAATAATAAAAAATTAATTTGATCTCTAAAAACTCATAACTAATTATTTTGAATCAAAAAATATGAAACTAGTAACATTTTTTTTATAAAATGTCATTTATCTGTTCGGTAACCTATTTAGAATTATTTAGATCTTATTTGTTCATGTTCCTTTTTTTGGCTTGTAGTCATGTTCATTTTTATTTAAATATCGTTTGAACTATATCATTGGCAAAAGGATCTACCATGCTATGAGTATGTAGAAATATGTCGAAGACGACATGAAACACTAGGCATTTGCATGGCTAGTGCTTTACTTTATGTTAATTAGGTTATAGGTTTCAAGCAAGGGAATGCCCCAAACATCATGTAATCAACTAGTCATGCAATTAATATAAAGTAGAGCACAAAATGATATTTAAATAAATAACAAGACTGACCACAAGCAGTAAACACTAGGAATATGAACAAATAATATCCAACTAACTCCAGCCTCCCGTTAGAGCAACAACAACTAGATAATATATTTTTTTAAAATCATGCCAGTTTAATATTTTTCTGGTTTAAGATAACTTAGCTATGAATTTTTAGAGATTGAACCATATTTATTATTTTTTAGGAGAAAGAAAACCGCCTTTAAAACCAGTTAGAGGACCAAATTTATCCAGTTTCAACACTAAAGGGTTCGGAACCTAGTTTAATAGTTCAGCCTAAAAATTAGACTATTGTGCAAGTTGGAGATTGAAAAATGAATTTTACCAAAACATTGCTGGTGATCTCTACCATCAATTAACCAACGCAACTGTTATGATTTGCCTTGTTTTACTGAGCTAGTACCAATCTTGTAGAAAAGATGCACAAGCGTGCAGTATTTGTTTTCAAGTAATTTATTCTCTTGGAGATTAACAAGGTAAATTGTTGCAAAAACAAAGAATATATATTTAGATCCAAAATGTGAATGAATAATTTGCAAAAGAATGGAAAGTAACACAAACAAACAAAAGAGTAGCATTTTTTAAAAGCACAAGACCGTGAGGTAGCTCTGTTCGTTTGGCTGATAAGGCATGGCTGAAAGTACTATTGATTGATTTATTGTGAGAGAAAAATATTATTCGTCAGCTGAAGAAATACGAATTATGAGGCAAGCGAACAGGGCAAGTCGCAGCGGCACTCAAACAAAATGTCGGCGACATTAGTACGGCACTAGCCTCCTCGCTCTCGGTGCAATCGGCGCAGCCGTCGTCAGCCGTGTACTCAAGCAGAAATCCACGCCTCAACAGCTGCTGCCGCTGGTGTCAGTATGTCATCATCACCACCGATTGGCCAAAGCTACCGGTGGATAATGTCTGGTAAGTTGGGAGGTGGCTCAACAGCCAAAGCAGGAAGGAGGCCTCGGTGTACGGGACCTTGCTACACACAATGCCTGCCTCCTCCTAAAACTCCTCCATCGGCTGCACCATCCGGAGGACTCAGCTTGGGCCATCTGGGCTAGAAGGTCCACTGACATGATCTCCATGAAGGGTCCGGCTGATGGTAACCACTGGGAAGGGCTTCAGGCACTTCTACCTGCTTACCGATGCATCACCAACGTGCAGGTGGGAGACGGTGCTTCGACCTCCTCCTGGTGGGACTCATGGCTGGGTGCCTTTACCCTAGCTGTCCAATTCCCTTGCTTGCTCAGCCACTCCACAAACAAAGACGTCTCAGTTCAGCAGATCATTCAACTCGGCATTTCATATAACTTGACAGCGAGACTATCTTCACAAGCCACACTTGAATTGACTGAGGTCCAACAATTACTTGCCTCGATCACTTTGACCCAGCAGCCTGATCGGCTGACTTGCAAATTCGCCGACACGACCAGCAAGCTTAATACTGGAGCAATTTATAGAGCATCAACCTACTCTGGTGTCAGCAGCAGGATCTACAACTATGTCTGGACAAGCAGGGCGCCTACGAGGGTTCGCTTCTTTGATTGGCTACTTATGCGCGGACGCCTCCAGTGCCGTGCTAATTTATAAACCTGTCCTCGACGACGACATCTGTGAGCTCTGCAGACAACAACCGGAGACTTCAGATCACCTCATCTTCCATTGCACGGTGGCAAAAGAGTTCTGGAACCACCTTGGCTTCCAAGGTTTACCTCTCCCATCAACTAACAGCTCTGGGATATGCCCAGGCCACCAACGATACCTCCAAAACACTTCAACACCATGCTACTGCTGTGCTGCTGGAACATCTGGAACCATAGACACGATGTTGTCTTCCGCCATCAACAACCTTCTCTACGTCGCGCCCTAGCTGCCTGCAAAGAAGCCGCCCGCCTGTGGGGTTGCCGGCTATGCCAACGTGACAGGCATTGAGTTGACATTTGGTGCCAAATGTTTGTAATGCATTAGACTCTCCCCATTCCCCTATATGATGTAATCTCTGTGACTTTGGTCCATAGACCTTTGTAGGTGCTCTGGCACCCTCCATCCACCGACTTGCCGGAATCAATGGAAAACCATTCAGGTGGGGCTCTCACCCCGCCGGTGATGTCTTAAAAAAAATACCGGTGGACCGAGGGAATAGGAAGGCAGCCAAGGTCACTCAAGGTGAGATGAGACTCCTGCGTGCAAATGGGGACCTAGTTCCATGGGGCCTACGAAGGATATGACTATGAGCTCCTCTCACTTCTATGTCAGCCCTGATTCGAAGCTACTAGTGTGTGTCTCTCTCTCTCTCTCTCTCTCTCTCTCTCTCTCTCTCTCTCTCTCTCTCTCTCTATATATATATATATATATATATATATATATATATATATATATATATATATATATATATATATATAGAGAGAGAGAGAGAGAGAGAGAGAGAGAGAGAGAGAGAGAGAGAGAGAGAAAAGAAGTATTCCTCTTCGCTAAGCTGATAGATAGATAGACTCGGTATAATACTAGTTCCAAGAGCGAAGTTACCTGGCGGCGGCAGCGGTGGTGGCCACTGCCATGTCGCTAGGAAGCCATCCCTGACGAGTTGCTCGTAGTTGGTTGCGTTCACCTTGCCGGACACCCCGAGCACCGGTACCATGGTAGCGTTGCAGTCCTCCAAAAAGTAGCTGCCTGCTGACTCGTCGGGACGCCCATCGGCGGCACAAACAAACGTGTTCTTGTGGCATACCGTCTCCACGAGCCCCGCGACTGGCGGCGGCGGCTTGGTGCAGTTGTAGAAGATGAGGTTCTGATTGACGGAGCTGATCGAGAACGGAGGAGCAAGACGGGACGAGGTGCTGGTCCGGAAGGTGTGGCATCTTCCAGTGCTAGTAGTATTGAAATATGGCCAGTGTCTATCGGCGATGAGCAAGGAGTGGTTGTGGTAAAATATGCTGAGGATCTGCATGCCGTGCTCGCTCTGAGAGTATCCGAGGTATGGCGTCGGGGTGGTGTAGTTATGGCAACGAACCTGGAACCCAATCCCGGCCCCGCAGTTGGTTTTCTCGGCGCCCTTCGGGATGAGCCCAAACGGGAAGTAGATGGTCACGTCGCCGCATATAAAGGGCGGGCACTGCTCTCCTCCTGCTTGCCCATCTGCTGCCGCCACCGGCAATGGTAAGGATAAGGCCACCCACACCGACGACGAGACTAGGAAGAGCAGAAACAAGGACGGTGCCATGGAAAGCTTATTAATTCGACGATGGCATTAGCAGGATGAACAGAAGGGTGAACCGCTCACAGGCACTGGTGGTGGCTGGGCTGAGTGTAAATGGTGAAGGCGAGTCCGCGTCGTCGTGTGCGTAGAGACGAAACTTTGACTAGGGGGCATTCGGGTCGGCCCGTCGTCGTCATCCACGCATAGGATATTTCCGAGGTGCCCGATCGATACCCGATGGACGTACAGTACGGGGCAAGGCGACGACTGACGTGACCGCGGGGGCGCCGCTTCCCCGGTCAAGGCACGCTCCAACGAGAGCCACCAGATGTTATACCTACGGGGAGACCGGGATGCTCTAGATATGCTCTGACTACTAACTGTTTTTTTTTTTTTGGAAACGAATTGACTACTAGAGTAACGCCGTGTTTAGTTTGGTAAAGTTTGGAATTTAGGCTACTGTAGCATTTTTGTTTTTATTTGGCAATTAGTGTTCAATCATGGACTAATTAGGCTCAAAACGTTCGTCTCGCAATTTTCAACCAAACTGTGCAATTAGTTTTTTTTTTATCTATATTTAATACTCCATGCACGTATCGCAAGATTCGATGTGATAACTACTGAATCACTTTTTGAGAATTGGGGTGGGAACTAAACACGCGCTAACTGTTATACCTACGGGGAGACCAGGAGACGAGGCCAACGATTGGTGCCTAGCTAGTTACAGGTAGCTACGGTCGGTCTTGTCGGTGCTCTGATTCTTCGGTGTTTCATTTGTCGCATGATTGTTCTATGTAATCGCAACCTTTGTGTGCTGTTAGGTTCAGCGGATTCCGTAATCGCGGGATTATCGTGGCCACCTAGGCCAAACTATACTTCTGTTTAGGGTGTGTTTAGTTCGCGAAATGAAAATTTTTTATATCATATCAGATGTTTCGGAGATGTCGGAAGGGGTTTTCGGATACTAATAAAAAAACTAATTACATAGCTCGCCTGGAAACTGCGAGACAAATTTATTAAGCCTAATTAATCTATCATTAACGCATGTTGGTTACTGTAGCACTTATGGCTAATCATGGCCTAACTGTGTAATTAGTTTTTTTTTCGTCTATATTTAATACTTCATGCATGTGCCGTAAGATTCGATGTGACATTTTGGAGTGAAAATTTTTGGGAACTAAACATGGCCTTAATGGAAAAAAGCGTGCTACGACACGGCCACTAAAAAAGATTTTTTTTGAATGTAAAGACAGGAGTTTTGATGACATGAGACAAGATGATAGCTTCAAAGGTCTAGACAATATTATTGATCTCTCAGTTAAGCTTGTTGAAACAAAGATGTACAAAGTGTATGATATGGTTTATAAGCTCCTCAAATTGATATTCCTTCTACCTGTGGCAACGACAAGTGTTGAAAGGGTATTTTCTGTAATGGTTTTTGTGAAAACAAAGTTAAGAAATAAGATGAGAGATAGTCTTTTTGATAATTGTCTAGTCACTTTTATTGAGTCGGATATTTCCTTTGAAGTTGATGAAGATGATATAATTAAGACATTTATGTCCCTTCGAAAGCGTGGAATAAAATAGTCACAAGAATAGCATTGTAAGTCTCCGGTTCTCTTTTATGCCTGATTTCAATTATCGGTATGGCATTTGAACTATTTATACTATACTTAGTGAATGGTTTGAACTTAATCCACGAATTTAATCCTTATTGTGTTATTTAGTGCATATACACCGAATCATGTTGTTAATTTTATAATTATTACCGAATTGCTAAAATAGATTTATTGAATTATATATAAAAATTTTTAGATGGCATACCCTTAGACAAATTCGTCACTGGGCACTGGTGGTGGCTGGGCTGAGTGTAAATGGTGAAGGCGAGTCCGCGTCGTCTTGTGCGCAGAGACGAAACTTTGCCTAGGATATTTCCGAGGTGCCCGATCAATACCCGATGAACGTACAGTACGGAGAATATTTCATGGATTTTAAGTATTTGACAGTTATCGTTTATATGCATCCATGAATATCTGCCGCATTACAAGACAGTGTTTCCTATTTATGTAGAATGTTATTTATTTTGAGATAAATTTAAAACCTTAGAAAGTTATTTATTTTGGTGCGGAGGGAGTATGTTTTACTTGTGAGTGAAAGAATTGTCAGAGATGTTTAACCAACAACTGGTTGTTTTAGTCCCTCTCATCAATTAAATTTTTCTCATGCACTTACACTGTCTTATAGCTATATTTATAATTATTTTTTTGGTGTAATTTATGGCATAGAGTGATATAATTTGGGAATAATACAAATTTATGCCAATTTTTTTTTAAAAATTACAAATTATTTTTATGGATTCCAGACATCAGAGAGATATATGTCAAATTGTTCACAAATTCTTCAAAAATTTCAAAAAAAACAAATCCACATAAAGGAGGTGAGAGAGGAGAGATTGGGTGTTCAGTGCTCACGTTCGTGTGTCAGGCAGGGACGCACGCACCAGCATGATTGCTTGCTTGATGCTAAGGCGGTGCAGCTGCAGCAGGTGGTGAGTCACGGGATGGCCACGAGGGGAGGTGCCAAGGACGAGGTGGAGGTGGTGGGCGGCAGCATGTGGCATCGGTTCAGGGCGTGGGGACGCTGTCGCTTCCGCATCATATGGTCCAAACTAGGGTTGATAACAATCGGTACATTAACCGGTTGATCATTAGCTTTAATGGAAAAAAACTATACTTGCAAATGGATTTTTTTTGTTTTTTTGGGGGGTGGGGGGCAAAAGCTCTGAATTATACATTTATGGCCACTTTCATGCAATTTACAGGCACATAGACTGTAGACGATCTGGATGCGGATGTTGATTTACACATTTGTGGTGGACATAATAACTGCTCTAGTATAGTGGCTCTACTAATAGGTGATCTCTGGCATCAACCATACGCAATCTATAATGATTTGCCTTGTTGTTGAACTTGCGATCTTGTAATAGAGTTGCACAAGTGTGCAGTTTTTGTTTTCACGTAATTTACTTCGAGATTAGCGAGGTAAATTTTAGCAAAAACAAGGAATATATCTAGACTTACAATGTGAGATGAATAATATGCAAAAGCAGGGAATTTTCCAATTAACAAACAAATAAACAAACGAGGAACATTTTAGGAATGCAAGAGGGTGAGGTAGCTTGTATGGTATTGAACTCACTGCAAGGTCCCGCCGCTGCGTGGACGCCATCGGAGCACTGGCACACCAGGACGTCCTCGCCGGCATCGACCGAGAACTGGCCGCCGTTCTGCGCACACGGCGCGCAATCCTCTGCCGTGTAGCTGTGCTCTAGGAGAAACCCACCCTTCGTTAGGCGGTCGTAGTCAGCCGCCACCGCCCCTTGGTATCCCAGCACCGGCATAAATGACGCCACTATGCAGTTCCCCGGCAGCTGCTTCGGATTGTTGTCGGGACTGTAGTTCCCAGCAAGCTAGGCGAACGAGTTGGGCAAGTCGTACGCGGCACAATTCACTGGCGCCCAAGAAGGAGGCAGCTGCCGTGCCTGGCCTTGGCAATCGCCGAGGAAGAACAGCTCCCGGTTTCTGTTGCTAATTTTGAACAGCGCAGCGCTCAGGTCGGAGGAGGCGTTGCCAATGATGGTGAGATCGCAATAAGTATATTTGTCGCCGGACGACAGGTCGACGTTGGTGACTACGAACGAGCTGTTTTCATAGAAGATATACAGGATCTGGTACTGTTAGTGTGGATCTCCTCCGACTCAGCCCAACGGTCGAGTCGGGCTTTGATCCGCGTCCTAATCGGGGGTGTCCAAACAAATCATGGTTGGTGAGTCCCAGTCGCGCAGCGCCATATAAAGAAGGTGGGGGGCCGGGGCTCACAGTACGAGGTTCACCAACGCCGCCATAAACACCACCTACAAACCCTAGTCCGATCAAGAGGGGGCGCTAACAGCGACGGGAAGCTCCACCGCCTCTGGATCTGCGCTGCCACTGTCCTCAACACTGGCCCGCCATCATTGGACTTCACCGCCAGGACACCGCCATCACCGGACACCGTCGCCATGGCCACTTCCTCCCCCAAGCCCGATGGTCTGACCCTATGCACTTCCTCTCTCCCTCTAGTTCTCTCTCTAGGAAGAACTCCCTTTTATCCCAATTTTAGTGAAGATAAACCCGCTAGATCTACTTCTAGTTGGTCCTAGCAGTCTAACAATAGTATCGGAGCCAGGTTTAGCGTGTAGATCTAGTTTGGGAAGAAAATAGAAGGAGGTGATTCGAATTTTCGATTCAGATGAAACCCTAACCCTAGATAAGAGGACAGAGAAGAGTCCTTCCGCCGCCGTTGCATGGGAAGAACACCCCGAGCCGCCGGCTCGTCAGCGCTCCGTCGCACCGCGCGCGCGCTCTCAGGGCACCGTCGGTAGACCGCTCGACGGTGGTGCGTTCACCCTACGGTGAGCGCGTTCACCCTAAAAGGATCAAGATGCCCAAGAGGCAGGGTGAATTAGGCTAATTCTAAAATTCTTTGCAATAATTAAACCCTACACTTAGCCCAATTCACCCCTTGTGCCTATAATATGTTCCTATTGTTCTACCGCACAAAAGTTTAGCACCCTAGGTTCCAATCCTACTCTAGCATGGCAATTTTAACAATGTAAAGACAAGAAATGAATTGCTTAAATGTAAATGATTAAAGTAAAGAGAGAAGAAGGAACACGGCGATGTTTTGCCGAGGTATCGGAGAGTCGCCACTCCCCACTAGTCCTCGTTGGAGCACCCGCGCAAGGGTGTAGCTCCCCCTTAATCCGCGCAAGGATCAAGTGCTCTCTACGGGCTGATTCTTCGACACCCCGTCGCGGTGAATCGCACACAACCGCTCACAACTTGAGTTGGGTCATCCACAAGCTCCGCCGGATGATCTCCAAACTCCCAATCACCACCAAGCCGTCTAGGTGATGGCGATCACCAAGAGTAACAAGCACAAACTCTCTCTTGACCACGACAAGCCTAATGAGACGGGTGGAT